TTTTATTAACTAATTTGGTTTATATTTTTAATAAAAGTTGTAAAAAACTTTGTAATTTATTAAAATTAATTAAAATTCTAATTTTTAAATTAATATATTTTGAGTAATATAAGTTTAAAATTTTAAAAATAACTTATATTTTTATATAGTAAATTATATATATTTATTTCTAAAATTGCTAATAACTTTTAATAGATTAATCTATTTTGAATAATTTAATTATCAGAATGTTTGTCTTGATGATAATTCTGACAAACCTAAAATTATTAAAATCTAATTACAGAATTCTGAAATAATTTAAATTTTATATTATTTTTAATAGTATTTTTAGAAATATTTTTAATATTAATCTATAATTTATTTTAAATAATTTAATTACTATAATTTAAATTATCTTAAAATCCTATAATTAGATTTTAATGAATTTGAGCTTGTTAGAATTACCTCATCAAGATAAACATTTTGGTAGTTAAATTATTCAAACCAGATAAATAGATCAAAAGTTATTGGCAATTTTTTAAAATTTACTATATAAAAACTAGATTTTGCTAAAATTTTAGATAAAAAAAACCTTTTACAAAATTTTAAAAAATATTTAGAGTTATTAAATCTTTATTATATAATTGTATAGACTTAAAATACTTTAAAAAAATATTTAATAAGGTATTTGATTTTTTAAATTAGTAGTTATTTGCTTTTAAAAACTGTTACAATGTAGTATAATGTACTACTGATAGTATAGTGTACTGCTATCTATTAATAAGTCTGGATGCTTTTTATAAATACCAGTATGAGTTAGTACCAATAATTAATATATAAATATTTTATATATCTCTAATTAGACATAAGCGAAGTAATTATAGTAAAGTAATAAGATATGATGATAACCAATAATAAACTATAACAATATTTGAGAATCAACTAAAGATATTAAAATCTTGAAAAATTGATTAGAAGTGCGAAAAGGCAGTGCTTTTATAATAAACTATTTGCTATCATATAAGTGCTACAAAAGTACAATAAAACTTTGGGCTTTCATGAATTCAGCCCTGCTAATAACAGATTTTTATAAGCTAAATTTGATAAATAATAAATTTGAAAACCCGAAGTCTTATTTTCCTTGGCAACATTTATATACAGCTTATTCTATCTCTACACCTTTTTCTATTTATAACAATTTGGTCAAGCTTAAATTCTTAGCTAGTGGACTATCGTTTAAATATTTGTTTATCTCTCTTTTGACAATAAACCTAAAAGGTAACAAACAAATCATGAAATATATAAATAAAGGAATTTTTATATCCCTTTAAGTCTAACAATTACAATTCCATAATGTGGTTATGGTTCAAAACCATAACACTATACTCATACAAAAAGAGATAATTCACAATAAAAAATAACAAAAAAAATTCATTACTTATTCTTGGTTTGACATTTAGTTTGTTAATATAAAAACAAGATATTAATAGGATAAAATATACCAGTATAGCTTTTTTAAAAGAAATATCATCTGCTTAAAATATATTTTTTACTAGACAAATAGTAAATTATTTAAAGTTTATTGTATATAGAATATAGTATGTTGCTACATCTTTTTTGAAATAGTTTGGAAAAGAACTTCTTTTCTTACTTTCTTAAATAATAAGACATGTGGTAATAGTAATAACATCATTGTATAAATTAAAGTTGTAAAACAAAATTATTTTTAACAAATATGCCGCTATATCTTTTTTAGAAAATTTTAGATAATAATTCTTTATATTGTAAACAAAGCCAAAATAACAAAATAAAAATCATTATATAAATCATATAAATTATAGCATAAATTGGATAACTTATCTCTTTCAACTATTAACTATGATATAAAATCAAATAAACCAAGCATGGTTTGGTGTCCTTTATTACCAAATCTCCAATGTATACAAGTACCACTTACAGAAGTACCTTTAGTACTAGATTTGTATACCTTTGACACAATATTACCTGGAGGTAGTAGGCTTGGTGAAGGTTATAAAATTTTATCTGAGAACTGTGCAAATAGATGTTAAGTAAAACACTTTTGAGAAGCATAAGTTATATTTAAAAGTTGATTCTTATTATTGTCAATAAAGGTATATAAAAAAAATGTAAAAACAATTACACTTGTAGATAAATATGTGAAGCAATTATACAAATCAATATTTGTATATATAGAATACCTGGGATGTTCTACTTGGGTATATATGATAAAGAATATAGGTAGCCATATGTAGCAGATTAATATTTTAAAAGAATTAATTTCTTGATGAATTTTAAACCATAAAATTTAAAGTATTAATTTTTTTAAAAAAAATATATTAATTTTGCATTATTTTTATTAATAGCAGCCTATACTGTATAATTGTTCATCCTCAGAGAAGTTATAAAATACTAACCAGATTTTTTAAAAAATGGTTGTAACAAAAAAAAATGTAACTAGAAAGGTCATATATCAGTTCTTCAAGACAAGCCATTAAACCTATGTAATATTGAATGTTATAGGAATCATAACTCTGATCATATTCAGAAAAATATACTTCGAATATCAAGTTTTATAAGAAAAATGATCACAAGTAAAATGATGAGTATAACCCCTTTAATGTTGGCAACAGGTAGGTAAAAAAAAAAAAAAAATTAGCTTTAGAAGTTCAGATTTAATTTAATTATCTTTTTTAGAACTTATGAATAATTCAAAGACTTTTAGTAAAACTTTTAATATACTAGCAAACCAAGTTCAGTTAACATCTACCCGATTTGTATCAAATCTTGAACTAATTCAAAATGCTCTCAAGTATAATAAAAAGTTGCATATCAGAATTTGATAAAGTAAGAATTATTTTATTTTATTTTATTTTATTTTACTTTATTTTATTTATTTGCTTGGTTAATAGATTTGTTTTATAATGGGTGATTATGAGGCTGAAGGCACCATTATAGCAAAACAATATGGTATTAAGAATACCCAAAATCCCAAGAAACAAGCTGTACTTTTTGGTGTTGTCTCCACAGTTATGCTAGCTATTTAATTAAATATCTAAACTTGTTGTCTTTGAATTCTACTGGTCATCACAACAGTTTAAACTTTTCAAATATAGCCTTCATGGTTAGGTTAGATGAACCTCATAGTCAAGTTGTAGCAACATTTGTAAGTGATAAAGAAACAATACCCATTGTCAATTTTATGTTTGAATCAGTAAGTATTTTGTATTTTCTGATAAATTTTACTAGACAATTCTATAACTTTAGTTGGTTGAAGTTTATTCAATATAGTATCAAAAATAATATCTGTTTGAACCCTAAGTGGTTAGTTATGGACAAATAGGAACCTTATCTAGCAGCAGCTAGAAAATATTTTCCTAATACACAAGTGGTTTTGTGTAACTGGCACAAGAGTGAATTTTTATAAATTTTACTTCTCTTTGTTTTAGAGTTGCTAGGTGTTGTTAGATTATTGTATAAATTCATGCATGCCACCAAAATTTTGCACACCAACAACTCTACTTTTTTTTACAGGTTTTTTTCACATTTTTTGCAATATTGTTTTTTTTTTTAGCTAATGTACTTAAAGAATGGTTTATCAAGAATTTAAATGATCAATGGCTTAGGAATTGAGTATTCTATTAGTTTTGATTTGTTAATTGGTCCTGAGATCAAGAAGAATTTAATCAACAAAAAACTACACTTCTAGATGCAAAAAAGCTTCAGGCTGCTATTAAAATCACAAGCTTAGTAGTTGCAGAGACCATCGCATCTTATTTTCAAAGATATTGGTTTGGTAATTGGGTTGGTTAGTATAAATTTAATTTTTTTTATATTTTTTTTTATATTATACTAATATTATAACAGATATATAGCCAGATTACAAACGTAATAATTGTTCTATAAAAACGAATATGTTATTAGAAAGTTATTTTAAAAAAGACATGATACTGCATTATCGAGAAAAATATACCAAATCTCTATATTCAAACCTCAAGAAAATAGGTATATTAATACACGTAGATAGTGGAGAAATTGAAAGGTAAATCTAGGTTTTTTTTTTAAAAAAAAATTTATATACAGTAATATAAACCATTCTTTTCTATAAAGGTTTTGGCAGGAAGAAGGTAAACCTTCTATGACCTCAAAATTGCAACGAGAAAGAAAAAAAGTGAATACAATAGGTGAATTATTATACAAAAAAAATTTAGTTCAAGATAAATATATCCATGCTGAATATTTATATATTGAATAATATTTTAATTTTAAAACCTATTATAGGTCTGTGTAAATTATCTCCCTTGTGCAATACTAAGATACTGTTCAACTACAAATGCTACTATTTTTTGAATACTACTCTTATAAGTCATTATTAAATATATTGTGATATAGTATTTCTCCTTTATAGTACTCTTCTCTCCCCATCTTACACAATATCCCAGGTATTATTCAAACTAATTTGAGAGATTTTTGAATAAGACCGGTGTACTATAAGCAGAGCTATATAGTATATGCTATAGAAACTGTCAATTTAGTTTTTTTATTTATATATTTATAATTTATTTTTTTAAAACCAGAAATTAATCAGGATACTTGAATTGTATCTCAGTTCTATACAAATGCTGATACCCAGTACAATGTTGCTAAATTGAATATTAATGAAGAGAACTCCCAGTATGATACTACCGAATTAGATGTTAATAAAGAAAACTCTTAGTATGATGCCACAGAACTAGATAATGGAGAAAACTTAATTAACAAGTGTAACATCAAGCAAACCAAATATTATGTATTATATATAGAAGTGGAAAATTTGCTTGCTCATATAGTTTTTATATAATTTGTGGTCATGACTATCAGGATATCATAGCTGTTTAGCTATTTATTGATAATTTTAGATTACTAAAGTAAGTATAATTTGTTTAGTTTTACAATTTCTTTCTATATATTAATATTTCTAACTCTTTTTATAGTAGTAACTTTAATTCTCATAATAAACCCAAGCTACAATAGTATGTAAAAAAAAAAATCTTGTTATATAACAATTGCATAATAATCAATTATTGGTAGCATAGAAAGTAAGATTCAAGGCACAGAGTTATGTGTATGCTTTAACTCAGAGTATTTATAATAGTATATTTTATGTCTTATTTTTTTATTTGTGTCTCGAACCTTAATAGAGAGCATAATGTATATGATATAATATTAAGAATATCGAATCTATATGCTTTTATTGAATAAAATTACCATTAGCTACTACATACAGTACCCAGGGTCTTATTCAAAAACTTCGTTTTTAAAATTGAATAGTACCCATAGGTATTGTGTAAGGAACCAGGTACTATATCTGGGGGATATATCATATTAAAAGTAGTAAATCATTATCCCTTCGTCTGTAACACAGACAAATTTGCCTGCGTTTTTTAAAATTCTTAATAAAAGTTTAAATATTAATTTTAGCTATATCTTTTCT